CTGGTGGCTAGTGCTACAATACTTATCAGATTTCAATCACTATTGGGTCACAACTCCTCCTGCTTTATACACCATAACCAGTTTTATGCTGCAGACAAACTTCAAGCACTTCATCCAAAAACAAATCCATACTGAATAAATAACCACTATACACTAGCCATCATAAACATTACATATTCTTGAGACAAATAAAGCTTGACCAGAATTCGAAACAAGCAATACCATCTACTCCTCTATTGATCATACCGAAACTTTGCGAGGTAATTACTTACAGTATATTTTTTTCTCTCTGATTTCTCAGGAATAGAGTTCAGTGGTTGTCATATATATAGCAGCTGCTCCAGAGCCCAATCACACGAATGCGTAACCCGATTACCAACACATGTATTATATTATTTGGGACAATTGCTCCTTCAATATCAAACACTAAAACTAAGGTTAAGGGGTCAGAAGGAACAAGGAAAGGAAGAGGGGAAAAAAATCTGTACAGCGATTGGCAACCAAAATTTCACACCCCTATCATCATCACGAGCAATATACCAGTGGCATCGAACTGAGAAAACCTGCTGCTCGGAAAAACTAGTGGGCAGGACTAAAAAGTTATTTACCAAAATTACCATGATAATGTCAACTTAGGGCGTGGGAGAATTTTGCGTCGTGATGGGTGGAAACCAGTAGTTGCCAATCCCTGAACTGCTTGCAGCCATCGTGTTAGGTTCACTTGGGGCCCATAGGCAATTATGAAAGGCCACCACCATCAGCAGAAAACCCAGATCCACTAGCAAAAGTCCACATCACTTCAAAAGCTATATGAACTCTCTTGGTCTGCAACTGCCAGCTAAAGGGAGTGGCTATTTTCATTCCCTCATCACCTCAGATTTCATCTGGCAATCTACCCATCACCATTTGAGTCCCCAAAAGAAGCTTTGATTGCCTCAGCAGTCATGAGAGCAGCTACAGCCTTGTGTATTGCTAGATCTGCTCTGTAAAGCGCTCTCTGAGCACTTTCTCGCTTGAGCTTCGCCATGTTAAGTGCATGCTGAGCTGCACTTGATGCATCACGCAACTTGAACTCATCAAGATCTGGACCATCCAACTGTTCAATTCCATGCCAATGAGATCCTTCTGATTTATAATGCTTTTGACTTGGCCACTCTGGCAAATACATATTCCACCGTTGAACTCCATTTCTCTTGCCAATTGTTTTCTGGTTCAAAGAAGACACCATCTGTCGACTGCTAGAGGAGAGACTAGTCCCAAACTTCTTTGAATTATTTCTATGTAGTCTTGGCTGATGATTCAATTCAAAGCCATCATTGCGCAAGGAGAAAGATCCAGTACCACCAGCATCCCTCGGTGAGAATGCCCTGCTTGATGCCTGAAGCAACGGGGAAGCCTCCGAAGATTCATGGCTATTGCCTTGAAATATAACCTCTTCTCCAAAAGCAAACCCATTTGATCTTCTTCCTAACACACACCAATGGAAAGACAAAAATTAAAGAAAAGATAAATGCTAAAATAGTGGTCACTAATCCCAAAAAAAAGTGAAAAGTGCTTCTTGGATTATATGTAACGCCAAGAAAAGTTACCAAAAGCATATAGACCATCCTGATCTCCGAGGGCAGTATGGCTGTGCCAAGATACTGGGAATTTCCTCTGTGACCTCGGTTTTGAACCTTTGTTGGGCACCTCCAAGCCTCGTGGCTTCAAACAGAAAGCAAACATAGGCGGTTTCTCAATGGGTTGTGCCTTCTCCTGGCATCCACTAGAAATGGCAAAGTTGGCTGTTGTCATGGTGTCCTCCCATTCTTTCACTTGCTCCTGGTATCTTTCCCAAAGCGGAGGCTGGGAAAAGCCCAAATAATTGAGAAATCTTCCAAATACACCAATCTCAATCCGAAATATAGAGCACACATTTTTCAACAAATAATAAAATTAGTAATATGAACACCATTTAGCAGACCCCAAAAAATTTTGGGACAAGGTCGAGTTGAGTAGTACTAACACTAGAAGCAGCAATTGTAAAGAAGTAATGATAGAAAAACAGCACTAGAAAATAGAAGTTCGATGACAGTTGCAACTTTCGGGTCCTACATCAAAATGGACTGCTCAGTCATTATGCAAGCATGCCTACATTTCATGTCAAAATACATAATTAAGTTATGAAATCAACCAACTGCCTCACAATAAGTATGAAGCACAAAANACAGTTGCAACTTTCGGGTCCTACATCAAAATGGACTGCTCAGTCATTATGCAAGCTTGCCTACATTTCATGTCAAAATACATAATTAAGTTATGAAATCAACCAACTGCCTCACAATAAGTATGAAGCACAACAATAATAGTAAATAACTGTATATTGATAGAAACTTCCCAAAATGAAAAAATAATTGCACAACGCCTAGAGGCCCATCAATAACACATTAGAGATATGCAGGTCAATCAGGGTTCAAGACCGCAGTATTAGCCCGTGACCCCGAGTGTACCTGAGGTACAGTATCAACCGGTACAACACAAAATGCTAGATAGAAGGCCCAAAAAATTCTGAAAAAGTTACGCAAAATTTTTAAAAATATAAAAACAACAAAATCCATGTATTATACATCCAAAATTTTAACAAATTAAATGTAGTGAAATGAGAGATAAGGAAGGGCGATATCGATAATAATCGTTAAGCATCAAATATGTGACTAATAATTTTGAACATGTTAGAGCATCCCCGAACATGACTCAAATTTGAGTAAAAAGCTTGATTTAAAATTGAGTACTCCAATTGGCAAACTCAAATATCTATTCAAATCTTTTAAAAAATTCTCTTATTATCTCAAAACCCATTTTTGTATCATTCAAATTATAAAATTTGATAAAATAAATGAAATTTTCATATTTCAAAATTGAATATGGTACAAAATTACCTCTTGAAAATAAAAAGAATTAGGGGGGAAAAAAAAACCACTCTAAAATTCTCAAATTGTTCTAATCCCTTATATTCTTATGTAAATTTAGATAAAAGAAAAAAGAAAAAAGAAAAAAAAGCAATTACTTTGGCATGGGTTTGGTACAAAAAATGGATCGTTTTCAATANCTTATATTCTTATGTAAATTTAGATAAAAAGAAAAAAAAGCAATTACTTTGGCATGGGTTTGGTACAAAAAATGGATTGTTTTCAACAAAAATGGATGTTTAAAGTAATAAAATAACGAATTTTCTAAATTTGTGGATAATGAAGGCTTGAAATTTCACGAAGAATTAGTAGCCTAAAATTACACTACCGACACTGTTTAACTCAAAAAAATCAAAGAAAAATTTGATAGATAGACTTAGGGTTTATATTGTATACAAGATGGGTGAGATTAGGGTTTTGCACATAATTATTAGTATCATACGATACATCATGATACACCTAAAAAACAATACGTATCGTGTCTTTGTATCGTTGTTGCACTGTATCATACGATACACAATACAATACGTACGATACTATACGTAAAGATTCTGTTTTTTTTTTATTTTTTGGGGTTAANAAAAATTCTCTTATTATCTCAAAACCCATTTTTGTATCATTCAAATTATAAAATTTGATAAAATAAATGAAATTTTCATATTTCAAAATTGAATATGGTACAAAATTACCTCTTGAAAATAAAAAGAATTAGGGGGGGGAGGAAACCACTCTAAAATTCTCAAATTGTTCTAATCCCTTATATTCTTATGTAAATTTAGATAAAAAGAAAAAAAAGCAATTACTTTGGCATGGGTTTGGTACAAAAAATGGATTGTTTTCAACAAAAATGGATGTTTAAAGTAATAAAATAACGAATTTTCTAAATTTGTGGATAATGAAGGCTTGAAATTTCACGAAGAATTAGTAGCCTAAAATTACACTACCAACACTGTTTAACTCAAAAAAATCAAAGAAAAATTTGATAGATAGACTTAGGGTTTATATTGTATACAAGATGGGTGAGATTAGGGTTTTACACATAATTATTAGTATCATACGATACATCATGATACACCTAAAAAACGATACGTATCGTGTCTTTGTATCGTTGTTGCACTGTATCATACGATACACAATACAATACGTACGATACTATACGTAACGATTCTGTTTTTTTTTTATTTTTTGGGGTTGAAATGACATCATTTTACCCTAAAACTTATTTTTAAATCACTAGCTAGTAAAACGACATCATTTCAGTAGTCATAGTTTAAAAAAATAATAAAATTTAATGTTAATGTTGTTCAATTAAATTCAAAATTTCTGATTAATATTAAAGTTGTTCAAGCAGTTGATGTTAGAAGTTTGAATTAGAGGTCTTTGCATTTTGATATTATTAAACTATGTTAGAAACTTGAATAGTTAGTAGAATATTAATGAAATACTGTGTTATTATAAGTCTATGATTTTTCTATAAAGGTATATACATATATTTTATTAATAATTATTTAAAATTAAAATTGCGCATATCTTACGATACACGATAAACGATATGATACGATACACTATTTTTAAAAAATGATACGCCTTCCGATACACGATTTGACAACTATGATTTTACAAAATATAAGAAATCAAGAAAATGAAATATGAAAAGGAAGAAGTTATCTATAAATCTTTAAAGGGTTTGTGAATACTTCGGTGGTGGTCGACGATGGAAGCATAGAAGAGAAAGGCAAGAAGGGACAAAAAAAAAAAGTCATGGAAGAAGTCTTTTGATTTTGGATAAGGTAAAAAGTTACCCTTGAAAATTTGGTATAGAATTTGAGTCTCCCTCAATTTGGATCCACAATAAGTTTTTTCTTGATTTGGTATACATTTGAGTCCAAGCTTAGAAAAAGTTTTTAGACTATTTAGACACAAATTTAATTTTGAGTCTGAATTAGAGTCAAGGTTGGAGATGCTCTAAGTATTCAATTTTAAGGCTTTTCTAAATTAAAAATAACAACAATAAATATTTATCTATGAATTGTAAATCTAAATGTGATTTCAACGTTTAATTTTAGAGATTAAAAAAAATAATTTTACAGATTCAACATTTAATACCATAGTCTTAAAACATATAGAAATAATAATAGGACAATAGCATAAAACTAGAGAATTCTATTTGTTTTAAGATTCCAGAGTACTTGTTTTTAGAGTGAGAATCCATTGAATACAAAGAGTCTAGAGGAGCCTAGGAGATGGGAGACGAGAAATGAAGAGAGCGACACTAAGAGATTAGAGGGAACTTGAGAGATGCTCTTCAATCACGTTTGCTACTTGTTGCGTTTCCACAACTTCTTCACCAAGAAGAAGAAGAAGAAAATGAGCTTTTGCCACTTCGCAAAGGCTACTGGTTTTGTCTTGAAATCTTTTCTCCTTTCGTGTAATTGCAAGAGGATGTGTGATCTAGAGTTACAAATTTCTTCATCCCTTGGTCTCCTCTTTTCTTCTCTATCTACCTTTTCTTTGGTTGGTGATGGCTGCCTGAGATCTTGGTCAGATGATTTTGTGAATCGGTTTGATTCGGTGTTGACTAGCCTTAGTTGATTCGAGTTGGTTGAGTTATAAACTGACTCAGCTAAGTCTCATGATATTCTCGTATTGTGTATCATTATTGGATTGGAGGTGACCGACTCNTTGATAGATAGACTTAGGGTTTATATTGTATACAAGATGGGTGAGATTAGGGTTTTACACATAATTATTAATATCATACGATACATCATGATACACCTAAAAAACGATACGTATCGTGTCTTTGTATCGTTGTTGCACTGTATCATACGATACACAATACAATACGTACGATACTATACGTAACGATTCTGTTTTTTTTTTATTTTTTGGGGTTAAAATGACATCATTTTACCCTAAAACTTATTTTTAAATCACTAGCTAGTAAAACGACATCATTTCAGTAGTCATAGTTTAAAAAAATAATAAAATTTAATGTTAATGTTGTTCAATTAAATTCAAAATTTCTGATTAATATTAAAGTTGTTCAAGCAGTTGATGTTAGAAGTTTGAATTAGAGGTCTTTGCATTTTGATATTATTAAACTATGTTAGAAACTTGAATAGTTAGTAGAATATTAATGAAATACTATGTTATTATAAGTCTATGATTTTTCTATAAAGGTATATACATATATTTTATTAATAATTATTTAAAATTAAAATTGCGCATATCTTACGATACACGATAAACGATATGATACGATACACTATTTTTAAAAAATGATACGCCTTCCGATACACGATTTGACAACTATGATTTTACAAAATATAAGAAATCAAGAAAATGAAATATGAAAAGGAAGAAGTTATCTATAAATCTTTAAAGGGTTTGTGAATACTTCGGTGGTGGTCGACGATGGAAGCATAGAAGAGAAAGGCAAGAAGGGACAAAAAAAAAAAGTCATGGAAGAAGTCTTTTGATTTTGGATAAGGTAAAAAGTTACCCTTGAAAATTTGGTATAGAATTTGAGTCTCCCTCAATTTGGATCCACAATAAGTTTTTTCTTGATTTGGTATACGTTTGAGTCCAAGCTTAGAAAAAGTTTTTAGACTATTTAGACACAAATTTAATTTTGAGTCTGAATTAGAGTCAAGGTTGGAGATGCTCTAAGTATTCAATTTTAAGGCTTTTCTAAATTAAAAATAACAACAATAAATATTTATCTATGAATTGTAAATCTAAATGTGATTTCAACGTTTAATTTTAGAGATTAAAAAAAATAATTTTACAGATTCAACATTTAATACCAGTCTTAAAACATATAGAAATAATAATAGGACAATA